AAAAAAAAAAAAAAAAAAAAAAAAAAAAAAAAGAAAGAAAGAAAAAAAAGACAAGACAAGACAAGAAAAAAGAAAAAAAATCCCAACTCTACAAAAAAATTTTTTTAAATTAGCCACGTATGGTGACATGCACCTCAGCAGGCTGAAGCAGAAGAAGGCTGTAGTGAGTCATATTCGTACCACTGCACTCCGCACTCCAGCCTGGGTGACCCTATCTCAAAAAAAAAAAAAAAAAAAAAAAAAAGGGGACAAAGTATAAATAGGATTTCATTAAAATTATAAATCCACTAAAAAAAATTTTTATTAAAAAAAATGTATAGGCTGGGAACAGTGGCTCACACCTGTAATCCCAGGACTTTGGAAGGCCAAGTCAGAGAGGACTGTTTTGAGCCCAGGAGTGGCAGGAGAGTGTAATCCCAGCACTTTGGGAGTCCTACACGCGTGGATTACCTAAGGTCAGGAGTTTGAGACCAGTCTGCCAATATGGTGAAATCCTGTCTCTAATAAAAATACAAAAATTAGACAGGTGTGGTGGCACATGCCTGTAGTCCTAGCTACTTAGGAGGCTGAGGCAGGAGAATAGCTGAACCCAGGAGGCAGAGGTTGCAGTGAGCCATGATTGCACCACTGCATCCCAGCATGTGTAATAGAGTGAGACTCCGTCTCAAAGAATAAATAAAATTATAAACTTGTGTTCTTCAAAAGATACTATTGAGACATTAAAAAAGACAAGCCACAGACTGTCTTGTCTTAAAAATATTTGCAAATTACGTATCTGTTAAAGGTCTAATATCCAGAACATATAAGGAATCTCAAAACTCAATAACAAGAAAACAAACCCAATTGAAAAAATGGCAAGAGATCTCAACAGACATTTTACAAAAGATTTATCACTGTCCAAAAAAAAAAAAAAAAAAAAAAAAACAAAAAAACAAAAAAAAAACACATGAAAAGATACTCCAGCACCATTAGGGAAATGCAAACTAAAACTATAAGTAACTGTTAAAATTAATTAAATAGTCTAAGTATACCAAGTGTTGGCAAGAATATAGAGCAACTACAGCTCTCATACACACTCTTAGTCATACACACTCTTAATGAAAATGGTATAACCACTTTAAAAAAGAATTTGGTAATTTATTATATCTCATTATAAAACCCAGCCTTTCTACTCCTTGGTGTTTGTTAGAAATATAAAAACATATGTCCACACAAAGACTTGTAAATAAATGTTCATCACAACTTTATTTCTAATAGCCAAAAACTGGAAAGGATCATAATGTCAATTAACAAATGAATGGATAAACAAATTGTGATATATCCACACCACAGAATGATACTCAGCAATAAAAAGAAATACACAGCTGGGTTCAAGCCATCACAGTGCTTTGGGAGGCCAAGACAGGAGGATTCCTTGAGGCCAGGAGCTTAAGACCAGCCTGGGCAATATAGCAAGACCCTGTCTCTACAAAAAAAAAAAAAAAAAAAAAAAACTAATTAGCTAGGCATGGTGCTGCACACCTGTAGTTCTAGCTACACAGGGGTTGAGGTAGGAGGAAAGCTTGAGCTCAGAAGTAGAGGCTGTAGTGTGTTATATCTGTGCTTCTGAATAGTCACTACACTGCACCATGAGCAACATAGTGAGGCCCGTTCTCTAAAAGATAAACTTTTAACTTTTTCCTTCTCCCAGCAAAAAAAAAGAAAGAAAGAAAAAGAAAGAAAGAAAGAAAAAAAAGAAAAGAAAAGAAAAGAAACCAACCAAGTTATTGGCCAAGCTGCAGCCATATACCATTTTTGTGACCTTGAGTAAGTCACTTAACCTCTTGGACCATAAAGATATTTTCCCTAGGCAGGGCGTGGTGGCTCACACCTGTGATCCCAGCACTTTGGAAGGCTGCGAACACCAGCCTGGCCAACATGGCGAAACCCTGTCTTTACTGAAAAAATACAAAAATTAGCTGGGTATGGTGGCGGGCACCTGTAATCCCAGCTACTCAGGAGGCTAAGGCAGGAGAATTGCTTGAACCCGGGAGGCAGAAGTTGCAGTGAACTGAGACCATGCCACTGAACTTTAGCCTGGTTGACAGAGCGAGATTCTGTCTCAGAAAAAAAAAAGATACCTTCCCTAAAGAACAGCTGTAAATTGAAGTGCTCAGTAAACTATACAGTATAATATAAAAGCAGGAGCAGTATTTATTAAATACAAGCTTCTATAAATAAAATGAACATGTTGTATGTAAATCAATGCTGCTACCATGTACTTTGACTTTGTGGCATGTGTGTGCACAGAAGTATATGTAGTAAACGATACAGTATATAAAACCAATAAGAGATTTCCTTCTTTTAAATTTGGCAATATTAATATTTTTAAAAGCAGTGGGGCAGAGTAAGTTACTCAAATACCAAAAAGAAAAAAGTTATTAAGAGTTGCCTACCTATTGGAGGTGCTTGGTATCGATCCACTGTTTTTCTCTGTCTCAAATTATACGGTCTATCGTTTTCTTCTCCTTCTGCCTCTTCAACTTCTATATCTCCATCCTCCTCTTGAGATTCTAGTTTCCCACACACAAAAAAGAAAAGAAAAAAGCACTGTTTTAATCCAAAAGGATTAGTCTACTCTAGAAGTGAATATTTATACTTTATCCATTACTGTTTCTGCACAGGTAAAATTTAAATGCCAACATATTATATACATGTAAAAGAAAATGCTTTCCCTGCCAATGATCAACATAATTATCTGTTAAATAAATTAATGCGATTAGATGCCTGTAATCCCAGCACTTTGGGAGGCTGAGGAGGGTGGATCACGAAGTCAGACATTTGAGACCAGCCTAGCCAACATGGTGAAACCTCGTCTCTACTAAAAATACAAAAAAATTAGCTGGGCATGGTGGCGCATGCCTGTAATCCCAGCTACTCAGGAGGCCGAGGCAGGAGAATCGCTTGAACCCAGGAGGCAGAGGCTGCAGTGAGCCAAGATGGCACCATTGCACTCCAGCCTGGGCAACAGACCAAGACTCCGTCTCAAAAAATAATAATTTGGCTATAGCTACGATATAACATCTAAGAAGAGTTAAAATAAAAGCATAGCTGGACGCAGAGGTACGCGCCTATAGTCCAACTACTCAGGAGGCTAAGGCAGGAGGATGGATTGAGCCCAGGAGTTTGAGTCCAGCTTGAGGCTACATAGCAAGACTCCAACTCTTTTTTTTTATTTTTTATTTTTTTTTTTTTTTGAGACGGAGTTTCGCTCTTGTTACCCAGGCTGGAGTGCAATGGCGCGATCTCGGCTCACCGCAGCCTCCGCCTCCTGGGTTCAGGCAATTCTCCTGCTTCAGCCTCCTGAGTAGCTGGGATTACAGGCACGTGCCACCATGCCCAGCTGATTTTTTGTATTTTTAGTAGAGACGGGGTTTCACCATGTTGACCAGGATGGTCTCGATCTCTTGACCTCGTGATCCACCCGCCTCGGCCTCCCAAAGTGCTGGGATTACAGGCGTGAGCCACCGCGCCCGGCCTATTTTTTATTTTTTGAGACAGAATCTGTCTCTGTTGCCCAGGCTGAAGTGCAGTGGCATAATCTTGACTCACTGCAACGTCTGCCTCCCAGTTTCAAGCAATTCTCGTATCTCAGCCTCCTGAGTAGCTGAGGTTACGGGCGTGCACAATGCCTGGCGAATTTTAGTATTTTTGGTAGAGACAGGGTTTCACTATGTTGGCCAGGGTGGTCTCGAACTCCTGATCTCAAGTGATCCATCCCCCTCAGCCTCCCAAAGTGCTGGGATTACAAAGGTGAGCCATGTGCCCAGCTTCTATTAAAAAAAAAAAAAAAAAAAAAAAACATGAAAATTAATAAACGTATGGACCCCCAAATGCAATATGTAACTTTTTAGCCACAAGAATTATCAATATAATACAATCATATTAAAGCATAGAAAAAATATAAAGCTGGCAGGATACTCAGGGAAGTAGAAGACTAAAACTGCAAAGGGCTGAACATGGTGGCTTACGTCTATAATCCCAGCACATTAGGAAGCTGAGGCAGGAAGACTATTTGAGCTCAGGAGATCGAGACCAGCCTGGATGACATATTGAGACCCCCATCTCTATAAAAATTACAAAAGATTTAGCCGGGCATGATGGCAGGTTCTTATGGTCCTAGCTACTCAGGAGGCTGAGGCAGGAGAATCGTTTCAGCCTGGGAGATCAAGGCTGCAGTGAACTGGGATTGTGACAATGCGCTTCAGACTCAATGACAGAGTAAGAAACTGTCTCAAAAAAAAAAAAAAAAAAAAAAGACTGCGAAGGACTTTATACTTTACTCATGACATCTGAAAGCATTATTTGAAAAACTTCTGTTGTTAGGCTGTAGAGAAAAATGGACAAATACAGTATTTATCCAAATAATACTATAACATATTTGTACCTAAATAAATTTTATGAATAGCCAAAACATTACTTTTTGAAAAATGACTGTACAATCACAGTATTATAGGCAAAAATTCTAAATATGGCGTATCTACTTTGGAAACTCTACAAAGATGTTCAGTTAATGAAAAGGCAAAAATTACATTATAAATCTGTCTCACCTATACTGATTTTCTCCAAAGGAAGCAATTTAGAGGTTCTAGCTGTAACAACAATAATATTTGCTCAATAAAGTACCACCTCTTCAAAACTGGCAAATAAAAATATTAACTACAGAATTTAAAAAAAAACAGTCTTCTCAATCTAAACTACACAAATAACGGGAACTAGTAAGATTCCCCTTACTATGCTTATACCAAATCTTCTCAAAATCCATCTCAATAAAGATTATGCCAGGCCGGGTGTAGTGGCTCATGCCAGTAATGCTAGCACTTTGGGAGGCCAAAGTGGGCAGATCACCTGAGGTGAGGAGCTCAAGACAAGCCTGGCCAACAAGGTGAAACCCCATCTCTACTAAAAATACAAAAATTAGCTGGGCGTGGTGGAGCACGCCTGTAATCCCAGCTACTTGGAAGGCTGAGGCAGGAGAATCGCTTGAATCTGGGAGGCAGAGGTTACAGTGAGCCAAGATTGCATAACTGCACTCCAGCCTAGGCAACAAAAGCCAGACACCACCTCACATAATAATAATAATAATAATAATAATAATAATAATAATAATAATAATTAATGCCTACAGAATTAAATCCTATAGGTGTACTGGTCACCAATTTATAACTCACGGGGCCAATGTGCTGCTGTCGTGTTCCCAACTACAGCACTACAAGTTCAGTCTGGGTTATTCAGTTCGGAACCCATCAAGGCCTCAGGAAAGAACAGTGTAGTCCCCTTCCACTGGTATTAGAAGTCTTTCTAAACTTTACTCTTTATTCCTCAGACCATACCTAAACTTGAGATCCACATAATCAGAGATTTAGAGGCCATGGATAGCAAAGTAACCTTCCAGTTAGAAGGTGCCTAAGTACAAAAAAGGCCTCACCTAAGAAGCAAAGGATCCCAAAGAAAATCCCATACCAGATGGCTACTAAAGAAATACATTACATAATGTATAATGTACAGTTAAAAACATTTTTCCAAATGAACGAAATGAAATTCAGATTGCCAACTGAATTTAAATTATATCAAATTAATATAGATCTCAAAATCCAAAAATCACCTACCTAGCAATATTCTACATATATTACTTGTATATTTTATTTTTCTTCCCTCCACCTGAACTTTCTAGCATTTATTTCAAAAGGTGCTTTACAAACCTTCTTCTTCACCCTCAGTAGAAACTTCATGATGATTTTGTATCCCATAACTATTTCTTCTTAGGGACTTTCTTCGCCTTTTCACTCTTGAATACATATCCATGTTTTCCTTTTAAAGAAAGAAAATCTGTCAAACAGTAACATGACATTTATTCTCCACTATAAAAAAACAACCCAATGATACATACCTGCACAATTAAAGTTATTGAGCACCTATTTGCATGCCATAGATACCTGAAATGTAGCTTCCTAAATTTAATAAATGTAAGGGATAAAAGGGAAAAAACTTATAATAAATCTACAAAAATGTAAAACTCATAATGCCAGCAACATACTTCCTCCCTCAAGCAAATTACAGCCTAGTAGGACAGAAATAAGACAATCACAGGTAATTATAAAGAAAGTAAAATAAGTTAATTGCCATAAAGAGTACAAAGTCTCTAAAATCCAAACAGAAGACTCTCCTTTTGTTATGGGATAAAAGGAAGGGAGCCAGTATTTGAAATTAACCTTGAAACAATGGCAGGACTGAATCGGTCACTAACTAGGAATATTAACAGGAGTAAAAGTTGTAGGAACAAGAATGATTTGTTTATACTTAAGCAATGCTGTGTGAGAAAACAGAAGTTGAAACCAGATCATAAATGTCAAGGTGTTTTTAATAAATTCAGTGCACAATAAAAAATTATTAATGGTTCAAATCAGAAAAGTAACAGAATCAGAGCTGCACTTTAAGGTAACTCATCTAGCAAAAGTGAAGAGGGTTTTCTTGGGAAGTCTGTAGCAACAGGAGGCTGAAGAAAGGAAGAAAGCAAGTTGGAAATGAAGAAGAAGGAATAGTTGTGCCAATTCAAACTAATACAACTGTTGCATTCTCCCTTTAAACTCATCAGTTAAAATAAAAAATATTTACAAAGATTGCTCCAGCTAATATACTCACAAATTCTGTATCTGTCCACATTCGAAGTCGCTCTACTTCTCCCGACCGGCGATTCCGTCGGATGTTAATGTTGTCCATTTCCTGTAGTACAGCTTCAGCAGTACTAAAATCATATAATAAAATCAGGATTTAGACAATGGTGGCACCATATACATAAAAAAGCTCTTTGTGAAACTGTAATCAAATCATCTCTGATAGGTAACTATAAATAACTTTTCTTTTTTTTTTTTTTAGATAGGGTATCCCTCTGTCATCCAGGCTGTAGTACAGTGGCCTGTTCACAGCTCACTGCAGCCTCAACCTCCTGGGCTCAACTGAACCTCCCACCTCTGCCTTCCGAGTAGCTGGGACTACAGCCATGCACTACCGTGCCCAGCTAATTTTTATATTTTTGTGTGAAGATCAGCTTTCACCATGTTGCCCAGGCTGGTCTTGAGCTCCTGGGCTCAAGTGATTCACTCACCTCAGCCTCTCAAAGTGCTGCAAGTACAGTAGTGCACCCCACCACATCCCAATTAAATACCTCTTTCATAACAGCATCTATCATCAGAATACAGTGCCCAGTAGGAAAAACAAAACCAGGACATCTTCTACATATTAAATATTCATTAAAATAAAACTTTTCAAATATAAGGCTTTTGTTAATAAAGTCCCAATTTAAAAAATCCATAATGCCCCTACAAATAATTATCAGATATATGACACTGAAAAAATACTAATTCAATCTTTTTATTGGAGATAGTGTTAAGAAATAATAACATTGCATAAAATAAAACAATTTGTAAAAAGTTTAAAGCCAGTATAAGGTTTACTGGAAAGGCTTTTTTAGAAATCCGAGAACACTGACATTCAAGAAACACATGCTAACATTTTAGCAATTATTTTTCCTTTGGCTCACATCTGTAATCTCAGCACTTTGGGAGGCCAAGGCAAGTGGATCATGAGGTCAGGACATCGAAACCATCCTGGCTAACACAGTGAAACCTCGTCTCTACTAAAGTTACAAAAAATTAGCTGGGCATGGTGGCGGGTGCCTGTAGTCCCAGCTACTCAGGAGACTGAGACAGGAGAATGGCTTGAACCCAGGAGGCGGAGGTTGTAGTGAGCAGAGATCAGGTCACTGCACTCCAGCCTGGGCAACTGAGTGAGATTCCATGCCAAAAAAAAAAAAAAAAAAAATGGATGGGTCTTACTATGTTGCCCTGACTGGTCTTGAACTCCTGGGCTCAGGATCTTCCTACTTCAGCCTCCTGAGCAGCTATGACTACAGTCTCCAGCCACCACACTTGGCTATCTTAGCAATTTTTTTCTATATTGTAAACAAATACTTACATAACAGGTACTATGCAGCTAGATACTGATCTAACTACTTAACAACACTTAAGTTTTAAAAATAACTTAAGCCCAAATTTGATGTTACTACTGTGGAATACAATTTCCTCTCGTCAAATAGGGATTATAATGACCACCTTCTCCAGGCTGTTGCAAGGATTAAGCAGGATGACATATTATCTGAGAAAAGTTTTATAGATGCAGATGTTGAACAGATAGTCAGCTTACTCACTAACTAAGAGACTCAATCCCACATACTCAGTCTCAAAACATCTTCAATTCAAAATCTTGACTATGTAAAACTACTATTCTACTATTCAGTACAGCCAATAATGAAACAATCTTGCTTGAAAATTATCAAAAGCATAAATGTCTTATCAAATGACAATAGTAGTGAAGATAAAATTACTTTTTATATTATCTAACCATTCAGAAGAGCTTAAAAGAGATGAGAAAATTAGCTATTGCACAAATTATACATTAAATTGACTCAAATGACTAAAAAACTGACAATCACTGCTAACCACTGTTAATTCAAATTAAGATGAGTATTCCTGTTTTTGTTTTGCTTTGTTTTTTAAAGTAGAGATGAGATCTTACTATTTTGCCCAGGCTGGTTTTGAACTCCTGGGCTTAAAGTAGACCCTCCCACTTCATCCTTCCAAAGTGCTGAGATTATTAGGTGTGGCCCACCACACCAGCTTCAAGTTAAGTTTTAAAAGAACCGTATTTATTGCTAAATCCTCACTTATGTTATTTTTTTAAAACATAATTATATTAAAAACCAAATAATTAAATGAAACTGCTTACTACATAAGCATTCATACCTATTTACTAGTTGATCAAATAACAAACTCTGGTTCACGCTTTCAAATCTGTTTTTCCTGGAACGACAACTTTTTCTGACTTCCATGTCACCATTTATACAAGAAAGGTCCCCATCTCCCTTCTTTTCCCCTCGAAGGGGATGGCTTCGAAGGGCTACAAGAAGAGAGATATTTACATTTCAAAGTACAGAGTATAGAAAGAAAAGAAAAAAAAATTACTTTTAAAAGCCTACAAAAAGTTGAATATAACCTCTTAAATGGCTTTAATATTCAATAATCTAAAATTTCTATAATTTTTACAATCTGTCATAAATAATTTAAATTATTTCAGGTATGCTGATTGCTCAAAGTTCAACAATTACATACATCTTTTTTACTATGACTGAAATTCAGCCATTTCCAACCGTATGCTCAGCACACTATTAAATCACTCTATTTTTCCCCACTTTAATGCTTTCTCTAACATTACAAGAATTTTAATACTAACCAGTTTCATAATAGAATACTCACATAAGCTACTATGTCCATTTGGTAATGTAGCACCAGGCTGAGAAGTTAACCTAGAACACAATTATATTTAATATGCAAACACATCAATATTTGTTTATATAAGCAAGAAATGCAATATTGCTGGAATTATTTCAATCGTTAAAACTTTTTTAAAAGTAAAGATAACATTTTTACTGTAAGATTGGCAATATGCTAATTAATAAAATATACTAGCTAGTTAAAAACCATTTCATTATTTCAAGAAAAGCTTAAATAACAGATTACAAACCTGGCTTACTCTGTCATCAACTCTACAAATTAAAATTCCAAAAAAAAAGGCTTAAACTTAATATGTACCATAAAATTAACTAGGACCATAAGTAGCAATGGCCACAGGCATTAACTATTGGTTTTGGTTGATGAAATAAATTTCAAACAATGATAAATATATTAACACAATAAACAGTAAGAAAAACATGCTTGAATACCAATATCATTTAATAATTTCTTCAAAGTATTATAT